CTAACACTTGAATTTTACAGACTTCAAACTCCACAGTGTTCTGCTTCGCTTTGGGATGGGGGTCCTGTACCCCAGGTTGTCCTGAACTTCTGTGCTCATTTCTGTTTCTCTTGTCATGGTGCCCTAGTCAACATTTGTGAGACCCGCCTTGTCTTGTGACAAGTGTGGGGTGTCCACAGGTAGCATGCAGACAGTTGTCATCTTCCCAGCTGCAGAGGTCATGTGACCAATACGAGGCACTTCCCTGCAGGGTCAAAGCTTCAAGGTTAGACAGAAGCTGAGACCGCAGTGCCTGACAGGGCTGGAGCAGGTGTGCTAGCCAAGCTCCAGCCCTTGTCGTCCTCAAAATAGTTCAGCATGAGACAGGAACATGAGGGAGATGACTTCAGGACAGCCAGAGCTAGCCACTCAGGAGCCCTGGATGTGATTCACAGAATAAGGAATGAACTAGGGGCTGGAAGGATGGCTCAGTGGTTACAGTGCTGACTGCCCTTGCAGAGGGCAGGAATTCAGTCCCTAACACCCTCATGGTGGGTCACATGCACTTGGAACTCCAGCTCCAGGGGACATCTGTCATTCATTTCTGGTCTCTGTGGGTACTCTACACATGTGGTACACAGACAAAAATGCAGGCAAAATATCTATATACCTAACCAAAAAAAAAATGTAAGAAATAAACTATGGGCCAGCAAAATGGCTCAGTAGGTAAAGGGGCTTGCTGCCAAGCCTGATGACATGGGTTCCATCTTCAAGGCCCATACGGTGGAAGGAGGGAATCATTCGTACAAGGTATCCTCTGACCTCTACACATGTGCTGTGGCGTGTTCACATCCCTCTCTCACACACATGTACACACCGATGTAATATGAACGCTTTAAATGCTGAGACCAGCATCCGAGTCTCCCCAGAACCTCCCATGTCCTCTGGAATCCCCACCCTCTGCTCACCAGGAGAGCGTGCCTGTATCTTGAGATTGTTTATTGCTTGTCCCACGTCTGTAGAGCCCAGAGGCTCAGGGTGACTCAGCAGACACAGGTTTTGGACCCAGTTCTGTGGGTCCCCTGCTGCCAAGCAGCGCCTCACTGGGCAGCCCTGCCTGTTGGGCTGTCTTTGGTTCCTGATATCATGGGGAAAGCCCCTGACAGCCTTTTCAGAGTGACAGAGGGTTCCAACCCCAACCTTGTCCTAGCAAACTGGCCAACCCAAGGCCTCTACTGGCATCTGGTAGTGGCATGTGCCTCTCCTGTCACCCACTTAGACAGAACCAAGCTCCCCCCACTCTAGACATTACCAGCACCCATAACTGATGGGCGGACAGTCCAGGACAGACACAGGACACCCTGACATTGATGCCAGAGGAACAGTGTGTAAATGGATTCCTCTATGTGGCTAAAGGGTACTGAGACTCGAGGGAGATGGAGTCCCTTGTCCTAAGTCTGTCATAAAACAGCAGGCTCAGGCTGGGCATTCTGACATATCTATCAACCCAGCACTCACTCGGAGGTGGAGGCAGGAGGATTGAAATTTCAAGGTCGTCTGTGGCTACATAGTGCGTTGAAAGCTAGCCTGGGCTACATGAGACCCTGTTTCAAAACAAAACAAGAACAACAAAAAACAAAAATTTTCAGGTTGGTGGTTTGTCCTCATGGAGGTCCTGGGTGATACCTGGGGACAAGTATCACATTGGGGGAGCTCCAGGCACAGAGTGGGTGGACGCAGGGACAGTACTCAGCAGCCTCCAGAGCCCAGAATGCCCCACACAGAACACTCAGCCAGACATCCCCACAAAATGAACTCAAGGTTCCTCTGTCTCCAGTGTGCCGCCACCGTGCTGTTGGGACACTCGCAAGCCCCAGAGCCAGGAGTGGGGCCTCATGGCTGGCCCCTCAGCTACATCCCCAAGGCCTGAAGAGCTTGGTCTGTGGGACCTAACGGAGGGTAAGGTCCCTGCCTGGATAGGTTTTGTGACTCCATGTAGATACTCCTGTGCCAGAGTTAAGAGGAATCCTCGGGATTCAAACCCAGGTCCTCACACATGTGAGGCAAAGACTTCACCCACTGAGCCAGAGTCTCAGCTTTTCTTGTTGACTCTCCTAGGTGAGGAGACCCAAGTGCCCTGCCCCACACCCAGCCCCAGGACCATTATCCCATCAAAACCCACCCCCCAATCCTAATAACCACACATAGAGACTAAGGGATGGGTGACAGGTTGCCCTCCCCGCCTTGTGCTGTCCCATCCCTGTACTCTGACACCTGTCACACAGGCGGCCTGCCACGCCCTGTGCTGTCCTATCTCCCCGTACTCTGACACCTGTCACAGGCATCAGCCAGCACTCAGCAGAACCGTCAGTCAGCACTTAGACCCTGAGGCCCCACCTGGTCCAACACCATCACCTGCAAAGGTCACCGTTTTCCAGACGTCAGGTCCCCAAGGGCCAGGGAAGAGAGAGGCATCCTGGACACTAAGTGAAGACCAGCCAAGGCCAGAGAGGAGGGGCTGACAGGAAACAGAAGCCACCGGTGGTGGGTGTCCCCAGGTCACCCATCCTGCCCTCCTCCTCCCCCTCCATGCACCCAATGAGTCCTGGAGACGGAAAGTTGTCTGGAAATGAGCCCCTCTCTTCTCCACCAGGAGCAGGTCTGCTGCAAGAGCGTCAGAGGTGGGATTTGAGGACACATGTTGGGTTTATGCATGTGGGACAGCCACAGAATCCTTTTAGCCAGGAGTTGTGGTGCGTGCTTTTGATCCCAGTGCTCGTGGGTGGGGGGCAGAGACAGGAGGATCTCTCTGAGTCCAGGGCCAGCCTGGACATATCGAGTTCCAGGACAGACAGGGCTACAGAGACCCTATCTCAAAAAAAAAAAAAAATATGGCTTTGACCTACAGAGAAGTGTCCAGGGAGCTGCATGCCCCGAAGAGAACTGGGGGTGGGGACAGAGGGACTCCCCTCTTTGATCCCCCAGCTATTCACCACCCATACCAAGATACACATGCATTCTTGGGGTCACTTGGGTAGGATGGGGTGTCCCTGGCTCTGCATCCTGTTAGGTGACAGCTCCTCCTTCTGCCCGCTGTCCCACAAGCCTCTGGGACCAGCAGGGTCTGTGTTTCACTCATCCTTCGTTTTAACACAATTCTTTGACTTTTGGGGGTCATTACTGCCGCAGGAAGCCTGGGTGAGGGCAAAGGAGGGGAGATGGCTGGCGTACTTACTTTTGTTTAAGATCTCAGGGGTTGAAGGAGCCGCTTGGGGTTGGCGGGCTTGGCTTTATAGACAGGACGCCGGCTCCCCGCCAGGTTATTAATAGTGAGGGCACTTCTTGCCCAAGTATGGT